AATAGAAAAGAAAAACAAGATCCCATGCTTCGTGGTGTCCTTTTGAATGTCCCCTTTTTAATTTTTCATTATTTTCTCTTTTATGGCAAAAACAAACAAATGAACAAAAAGCAGTTCTGTGAGCAATCTTGCCATGAACCTATACACACCCCAAACAAGTCTTTCATTTCGTTATTAATTTGTCATGTCGTGTGGTGTCCTTTTAAATGCCGCTCTTTCGTTTTTGGTTCTCTTCTATTTTTTTATGGCAAACTCGCCTGGCTGCCAAAGAGTTACACAGCAAAGCTGCTTGCCACGATCCTGTTCCTAGTAAAACTGCCCAAACCCTTTGCGATAGGGCCCTAGGTCGAATTTTCCTAGAAAGCCATCTGTGTCCTTTTGGAAGCACAGGCTGGTCTAGAGAAACCTGAATCACTGAGCTTCTATGTTATAAGAAGTGGTTTTGTGGTTTTGCGTGGCTTGCTCTCCTGGGCGACAGTTGCTATAATTAAACAGACCTCCCTATCTGCCAAGTTATCAAACGTGGCGACACGCTGACTTTGGTAGAGGGCAGCTCCAGAAAGCCTTCGCTTTCTAAGGAATGCATATGCATGATCTCTGGGATTTCGAAATACTGAAAGCTAGAGGGACCAAAGGCGAATGAGCAGCTGTGTGCCTGTCCTCAGGGTGATGACAGGACAACTCGCTGCCCTGCTGGGGACTAGCACCTTCCAGGGGGTGTGTGAGGGTCCTGCTAAGCAGATTCCCTGTTCCTTCTGTAATTAGCGACGACTATAACAACTTTTCTTTCTTCATTTAACCTTTGTGGATAGCTCTCATGTCTGTTTCATTCTATCATTAATCTTCTTGGAAACTTCACTGCTGTCACAAAAGCCACACATATAAAACTCCCCACCATGCCTCCGCAGATTAAATAAAATGTGCTCTCAGCCTGCCTCAAGTTCAAAGGCTCTGTGCTATCTATTTCCAAACTGCTCTTAAGACAGCCAAAACATGAGGCAGCTACCCATAAAAGCACAAAGCTTTGTACCGAGCGATATCGAGGGACACTAAGGGGCTGTTGTGTTGAACGAGGTCTGAGGGGAGGGAGTTACCCCACTATACCTTTCTCTTACCTAAAGGAGAAGGGTTCACTCTTTTCAAGAGAAAATCTCCAAGCCAAGTTCAGGTGGACTGTCTGCAGGTCAGAGTCACACCTAGTCCTGTGTTTATCATCTTCTGTGTACCCCTAAGTGGGAGAAAGCTTTTAGGATCAAAGAGAAGCATTGTAAAGCCTCAAGAATTACAATGTGCCCTGAATTTGTGTGTTCTGTGTGGAAATGGCCAAAATAGGGCTCGTGAATCCCCAGGTTAAAGGGGTCACCCTCCACCAAACCTGGGAAGAGAGAGGCCGACAAGGTCTGAGCGAAGCCGCACAGGCTCCGGGGAAGGGAGCACTTTCACCGATGTCCTGGAGTTACTGATGCGCTGTCAGGAGTCATTGTCTCTGGAGGTTAGGAAAATGATTAGCATTTTTCAAGGGTGGCTAGTTTTTGTGAATTTCTGATTGGACCGCTGTTCAATGATCAGGGTAAGAGATGCTCCCCCAACGAATCAAATAGGTAGGTTATCAGTGCTGCTCAAAATGTGGTTCAAAGGTTGACATTGTCCATCTCACCTTTGAGCTCGAGAAAATGCCAGGTCTCAGATCCCACCCCCTATTTCTGGGGGTGGGCCCCGCAGAGTGTTGTAAGGCCCCTCTGCCTGATTCCAGTGCATGCTAAAGCTTAAGAAGCAGGATCCACTTCCTTCCTCCCTTTCTCTCTTGGTGGCCAGATCTGTGGTTGGAAGAGGGGTGGCAGTGTTCCCAGGTAAATGCCACATTTCCTCACCTCCCTGCAACAAAGGGATTTCAGGGATACAGCTGTGGAATCAACTAGGAAGGACTCCAGGAGAGCGACTTCAAGGGAGGCTTTCTCACCAGGGAGGGATGGTACCTTTGCTTCTTTGCTCTTCCTCCTGCTTCCTGCATGGTTTGTGGATGTGAGGGCTGGTGCTCCAGCAGCCATCTCAGTCCATGAGACAGTCTCTACAAGGGAAACTGTGCACTAAAAATTGAGGAAGCCAAAGGGGGGGCACCTATTCCCAATGCTCAGTCCACAGATCAGCCATATTAGCCATGCCTTTCTTTTCCTCCATTCCTTCTTATATAGGAGAGAAACAAACCATTACATATGAATGTATGCTAAGCCCGCTTGCTCGGGTTTTCAGTGATATGTCATTCAACCTAATCCTAACAAAATACCAAATACTGGGTCAGTGTTCATTCAAACAAACAAGCCAGACACAGAGGAGGTGGCCCATTCCCAGGGCTACAGGGAGTCTTGTCCCATTAACCAATGTCCTGCTTGCACTCCTGGCCCTTAGCCCTTGTCCATGTAAAACTGTCTGTGAAGTCGATTTAGTGAAAATGGATTATGTTCTACAGAACATGAACAAGTTTGTCTTCTCCTTTACCTGACGTATAATCTCAAGAAATGGACACCTCATTGGGGAAGAGTCATGGCGAGGGCGGTCCCGATCAGAAACCCACAGCTGACTGGTAAAGAAGCCGGGACCCCTTTCTATACAAAAGGTACATTTTACCAATTATAAGAGCATTGCACTTTGTTTTTATTGCCAATTTAAAGTCCATCTTGCCCCCTCACTGTAAGTGGAAGGAGGCAGGAGGCAGGAACTGTGTTAGCATGGAGATTGGCACACAGTAGGAGCTCAGTACAGGTTTGCTGAATGAATGAATGAATGAATGAATGAATGAATGAATGAAATAGATGCATGAATGAATGCAAAGCATGTGCTCTACCACTGAGCTACACCCCTTATGCATGCGTGAATGAATACTAATCTTTTCCTATTTAGACTGGTCCTCCCACTCATTCTAAGTAAAACAATTCAGTGCATTTTCAATGAGTGGCCTCAGGGAAGAGAGGGTGTCACATTGTTCCAATCCTCAAAAAAGGGGAGGCTCAGTAGCAGGAAAGACCATTCCAATGAGACAGCATCCCTGTAAGCTTTGAGACATGCTCCATGTCACCTTGGTCACATCATTGAACCCTCCAAGGACCCTCTATGCAAAATAAGAACGCTGAAGGAAATGACTCTCAACCTTCCTCCCATCTGATTCAGTCCATTTAAAAATGGAGAAGAGAACTTAGAGTCCGAAAAGAATCCCTAGCCCCACATCTTAAAGGTTTGCTTACAATTATTTTTATTAGCAGTATTAATGAACTAATACAAGGTCCCGGGGAACCCTGGGAATGAGGTTATTTTTTACATGACCTTGGGCTAATGCTATAAACGTCACAAATAGGCATATCCCTTTCACTAATTATTTCCAATAAAGCAAAAGATCGAAAATCAGCATCAAGAGACAACACCACACAGTTGAGACTATTTAAAGCAACTCCTCCCAAGCTGGGCGGCAGAAAATGCATCATGAACTCGGAACAGGTTTGTTCAATGAAGGAGAACCTTCGCCCTTTAACTCTCCACGGACGCCATCGGGAGTTTCTCAGAGCAGAACGTGAAGTGGGAAAGAAACCCCGGCCAGGAATGCTGTCCATCACCCCCGGTGACCTCCCTGCCATGGGCCATTTCGAGAGAGGCATTCGTCACAGCTGGAGCGACAGCATCTAAGAGGACAGCTGCCAGACAACCTTCGTGGGGAAAAGCTACCCCTGCACGAAGGCTCCAGTGATGGAGCTGGGGGGACCTGCCTGGTGTTGTTGAAGGACCCACGAAGATAATGCAGAAAATGAGAGCTCAGAAATCAAACAGAGCTTACCCCTAACTTACAGCAGCCCCCTCAACACTCAGCCGAGGCACAGAGAATAGATTTCTTATGGGACCTGATTGTTCGAACAAACACGTGGCGTGTTTTCCTGCTAAAAGAAACAGGAACAGTTTACACTTTGAAGATCTGTGACGATTCTTCTCCACCCCTCACTCAGTCATCCTTGTTGTCCGCCATGTTTTATTCTCCTACATAGAGAGAGCACCAGAGGCCACCGAGTGAGTCTCATTTTGTTTCTGGGCGAGCAGCAAAGTTAGACGCTCGTTAGAGACAGAGAACTTGGTTTCACAAGTGATCTGTGTAAGAGAGAAAGTATCTACTTCACAGAGCGAGGAACGGAGCCTGGGTTCCATGAACTGTACAACGTGGGTCTGCCAAGGGCCTGCTCCAGACGGCAAGTGCAGTGGCTGCAGGAACCGTGCTTGGGTTCCCTTGAGGCTGCTCCAGTTTGTGGGGCCACAAACACCAAGTCCTCCCCAAATATGACCGAAATGCTCCCATTAAGCAGAGACCATTTCTGCAAGTTAAATGCAGATGCAGTGATGCCCAAAGTGAGTTTACAGAACCACGATCCCATGACGGTTCTTTGACTAGCTCAAAAGAGGAATACACATCTTCCTTAAATGTATCACGAAGTCATCACGGAAAGCTGAGCACATCTGGGGGGAGGGGGAAATGGGTTTCTATAGATGGTGCTCAAGTATTTGGTTTTCTATGTCAGATTATCTTCAGTGCTGCTGTGCCAATTTTCAAGTGGAAAATAGGATGGGTGATACTTCTAAATGCAAAAATAGGCTTATCCTGTACTTCGAGTCCAGCAGGCCTGTGCCGATTCTAACTTCCTGCTGAGTCGTTATGTCGTCTTTGGGCTCCCGGGAACCTCACAGATGAGCTCCAGCGTTTCTCATCCCCAAATTCATTTTGAAATGCAAACAGGTCCTTGCACCCTGCTGGGGGAAGATTCAAACCCCTGGCCTGGTTGGTGCCGGAGCATGTGGTCCTTTTTCCCCCTGGCCTTGGGCTAGGGTGACCTAAAGCCAAGCACGCAGACATGTGATTCCAGGGGCAGCGCAGGACACCCCAAGTCAGTCACCTGAGTTACAAACATATTGACAGCTGAAATGGGTCCTAAACTAGGGGGTTACAAGAGCAACTCCTTCTCCTGGGGTTCTCTGGACAGCGACAGACAGGAGGCGTGAGTGCATGTCAGGTTCCTGGACAAGGCTCTTCTGACACTTCTTTCCCCGCAGCTTGTTCACATCAGGACCTGTTCCCGCGTCTCTGGCAGTCGGAGGGCAATCAGGCCACCCCCAACGAGGGAGGCGGCCGCCAGGAGGATGGGGATCACTTTGGTTATCCCAACAAAAGAAGCAAAGATGGTGTTTCCCAAAATGGCGCCAAACTTGCACAGCCCATTGAGGATGCCAAAGGCTGTTGCCCTGTCAAAGAAGAAGAAGGTGAAGGATTGTGAGAAGTGACAGCCAGACCCCCTACGTGAGTGGGGCTGCGTTCTCCCTGTTGTGGGAACAGGCACAGTGAAGGGGAGGGAGGGAATTTTTTACCTAAATATAAAAGAAGCATATTCTCACGTCAGTCCAATTGGAAAGTGTAGAATAATATAAAGCTGCAGAATACTACAGAATAACAAAGTCTTTAACTGTCACACAAACACAATCACCACTATTAGCGTTTTAGAATATTTCCTTCAAACCTATTTCTTTTCCCTTTCAAATACACATCTTTTTGAAATTCTCACAGCTAGTAGAAGAGTATTGTGAAATACTGAAAGAATAAAGAAGAATGCAGTAGAAAGTGTATGTGTCCCCCACTTAGTAACACCCTCAACCCTCTTCTGGCAGAGACCACTAACTGCCCCTAAATGGCAAGGGGTTAAGACACAGCACTATGACGTTTTTGCAGCCACTGCAGCACGAGTTCGATCCCTGGCTAGGGAGGGACCCACATGGCGCAGAAGACCTCTCCTGTCTTGCCCGCTGCTCCCCTCAGCAGTGTATTTCAGTGGATCTGCCTGTTCTGCTCCCCACTCTGTCTCTGGTGAATCCTCTCACCCCCCGCATCTCTGGCCTGCACCCCAGCTCTTGTATGCATAAATAAATCTTTTTTTAAAAAATGATATTCCTCTGACTGTGAGACTACACTTTCCAGATTCCCTCATGGCTCTGTGTGGCCACATGACTCAATTTGACCAATGGGATAAGTATAAGTGCGAATGGCAGCTCCTGAGAAACTTTTTTAGATGTAAGGAGTGGGCCTTTTGCTCTCTTCTCTTTCATCCTTTTTTTTTTAAAGATTTATTTATTTATTTATTTATTTATTTATTTATTTATTTATTTATACAAGCACTGGGTACAGTCAGAAGCGCGGGAGGGTGAGAGAATTCACCAGAGCCAGAGCGGGGAGCAGAGCAGGCAGAAGGACCGAAGGACACTGCTGAGGGGAGCAGCGGGCGGCAGGAGAGGTCTGCGCGCCATGTGGGACCCTCCTCCGGTGGCCGGGGAGCAGCCAGGGATCGAGCCGGCGCTGCAGAGGCTGCGGGCAGCTTTGCAACCCAGCGCTCAACCGCTGCGCCACCTTTTTCCTTCCATCCTGCTTCCTGGGATGTAGATGGTTTCATTTTGAACCACGGCCAGGGGTATGGAAGAGAGAACAGGATAGAAAGAACCTATGGTGCCAGCCCTAGACAGCTAGAGATGAGAAAAATACATGCTCACCATCTTAAGGCTGCAGTGATTTGGGGTTTCTGTCACCCCTGTCAGAATCTGTTATCATCACCCTCCAGCACATTACCCAGTGTTAACCACCACTAAGCATTTGTGCTGACTCCATGTACACAGAGACAGCATTCCCGGTGCTCTCTCCCCCCAACTAAAGCAAGATGTCACCTTTCCATACCACAAGTCTATTAAGAATGTGGCTGTATTTTCGTTCCTTAACCCCCCCTTTTGCTATAACTGCACCACAGGATAACTTCATAATCACCAGGCGCCCAATCCCAATCTCTCTGTTTTCAGAATTTTCTTAGTTATTTTCACACATGTATTTTTCCTAATAAGCATTAGAATAATTTTTCAAGTCTTGAGCAGTCGGGTAGGGGGGAATCTCGTTGAATTTTGAATGGGTTCTGTTAAGTTAGAGAAAAGCTAAAGAAGATTTGACATTTTTAAAAGATTACATCTTAGAATCCAATAAGATATATCTTGACATATAGTTACCGCTTCTTTAATAGCTCTCAGTAAAGCTCTTTGGTTTTTTTCACACAAGTGTTTCATCTTTTATATCAATTGGTTCCTAGAAATTTTATGGTTTCTGCTATTATTAAATGGACTTCAATTGTATATTTAATTGTTGATACAGCTTTTAAATCTATACATTAAGATAGCTTTATGTCTGAGCACCTATCAAATTATGCTTTCTAATATTCTCTTTTAGTTTATTTTTGGGGTTTTCTAAATGTAAAACATATTTAGGTCAAACATATCCTATTCAAATTTCTTCCTCTCATTTGTTGTAAAATTATTTTTGTAGAAGTTCTCTGATTTGAGAAAGAGGGACTCTGTGTGGTGAGGTGTGTTTTTCCATAGCTGCCTACAGTCCAGTGCCTGTGTCATCAATTTTGGGAATATCATTAAGGTTTTCTGCAGAATTTACCTGCCGCCCATACTACTTTCCATTCCTTTTGGCCCCAAGGCCCCTTTAGCTACTGTCCTTAAAATTCACAAACCCCCTTCTGTGAGGAAAAATAACAGCAAAACAATGGTCTTGACCCTGTGCCTTCAACTAGGCCTCTTCTCACACGGTGGGCAAAGGATTAGAGCAAGCTCTGGACACCCCTGCCTCATCGCTGCAAACGGCCATCATGCCTCATCCCTGCTTGTTTCTCTCTGCCTCTCCTCTCCCATGTTTATCTAATTCTCCGCCTTTTCACTTTATCTTGCCTTCAGGCCTGTTCTCACCGCTTTGGCTGTGTGGCCATATTCGGCTCTCCTGGACCTGGCTTGTGCTTGTCCTGTGCATTTTACCACCCCCCACCACAGCTGCCACCTCCCAGCCCACATGCAGGAGCAACTCCACAACCTCAGAGACTGGTCCATGGCACACGGGAAGACCTAGGCAGTCGTGGAGGAGGAGCTTGAGAGCCTGGCCAAAGCAGCCCCAAATGTCCCAGCAGAGAGGCCAGGGAAGAACCCACCTCTGGTTGGTGGGGTACAGCTCCACTGTGATGACATCCAGAGCGTTCCAGGCGGCGATGCTGGTCCCGCAGAACAGGCACTGCCAGCCGATCATCGCCGACTCGCTGTTGCCGAAGAAGAGGAAGAAGCAGCAGACGGCAGAGATGAGCATGGAGCCGCCTGCAGAGCCAGGACACAGTGGACTGTGAAGTGGGGTCTGGACACAGCTGGGGCTCGTGGGTCTTGCCCCCGCTCCCATGCTCACAGGTACAGCTGGAGCACCAGGTCCATCTCAAGGAGAGAACCGGCTTGATCCCCAGGGGGCCCCGGCCACAGCAAGAGCATCCTCTGCGTGGTCCTGTCACCAGAGTTAGCCCCTGGGAAGGATCTCAAGACCTTGTGGTGCTCCCAAGTCCAGGACACTGGAAGAAGGCAGAGGGGCTCGGCTAGAATCTACACTGCCTCAGCCATTGCTCAGGGTGCCCCAGATATGTGGCCATCAGAAACCCTGCTCTCATGGGGTTCACATACCAGTGAGAACATTGCCAGGGGTGGACAGGAGGAAATCCTGAAGAAGGACCCTGCTGTTGTTCTCCATTTACTCCCATTTCCAGCCCAGAAGCTGTGCCCCCTGGACTGGGCACCCAGAGAGTTGGAGGAGGAAAGGGCTGGAGTTTGCTCCTGACTCTTGGTCTGCTCTGATGCCCATTTGCAGGGAGAACACGGCTCTGGCGGACTGCAGCTCCAGGCCTTCCTGGCTCCAGCGATCCTGGGCATTCGTGCTGTTCCCTTCCCAACCCTCTAGCCCCAGATGTCGGGCTGCTGCCCCCTTTGCTAGAGCCTGAGGCCTGGTCTGCCTGACTTGTGTCCATACCCCACCTGCCCCTCTACAGTCTCTTCCTCAGACCCATCCCGGGAACCTGTGGAGAGAAGCCGTCTGGAATCCTGCCCAGACACAACACAACCGGCCCAGAGGGGTCGAGGAAGTTGGGGTGGAGGGTGGATGAGGGCGCTGTACAACAGCTTGCAGACCAGGGTCTGGCTAGAAAGGAGGTGGGAGAGTTAGGAGAAAGGAGGCAGGAAATCACCCAACAGCCAGCTGGAAAATGGGGCGTCAGGATCCTGGGGGAGGGAGGACCTCAGTTTCCAAAAAGGCTGACCTGGCCCTGCCAAGTACCTCCCTGGGGGCCCCCACCTGGAATCTCACCCTCATACGTGGAGCTGCCAGGTGAGTGGCAAACCCTGCTGACTCCTGCCTGGATTCTGCTGAGCCTGGAAGGGGCCAGGGCCGTTAACAGCGAGCCTGGAACCTCTCCCCAGTAAGGACAGACTCAAAGAAGAGGAGAGGTAGGGAGGCAGGTGGGGCAGGAGGTACTTGGAGAGAGGGGTGCCATGGCCAGCCCTGAGGGCCAGAGGACACAATCAAAGGGCAGAAGGCCAAGGGGCTGGGTGGCACACGCTGCTGATGCCAACAGCACCTCCAAGAGAGAAAGAGAATGAGGGCAAGGAAGATGTAAGTACACAGATGCAGGAATGAATGAATAAATGACAACATGCCGTACATAAATGAATGGAGGAAGGAAGCAGGGAGCAGAAGGAGGGAGAGAGGCAGGAGGGACACAGGGAGGAAGGAAGGGGCTGAAGTTTGCTCTTCTCTGATAGAATCGCTCCATGACGTATTTTGCTGCCCTTTGGGCGCTGCTGCTGGAAGGCTGGCATTAATTCCTCTGAACGACACCCTCCTGAGGCAGCTCTCGTGGCATGCTTGTTAATGCACTGTCACTCCCACCCCTGGCCTGGACTCATACATGTTTCCCCTACCCTGGGGGGGGGGGGTCTACATCTTGTTTCTTGCCTGCCAAGCATGGCGTGTGTTTCTGTAGCCAACTGAATGTAAATCCTTGGGAATAAGGCACAGCCCACGTGGGTGTGGGGGCCACCTTCTTGGAGAACCTACAATGCACCAAACACTACCAGATGCTTCAGGACATTATATTCAACCTTCACAAAGCCTGACCAGCTGTGATAGGAGACCTCACTGTACCAATAAAGACTCTGAGGCCAGGAGAAGTAAAGGAGCACGTTCAACATCCAACAGCCTTCGGGCAAAGAGAATTCACCAGGAACCCATCACACTCCCACACCCCAAGTGCTATCACCGTAAGAGAATGATGAGCAATAGATTGTTTAAAACTCATCAAATGAAACCAATGCTCATTAAGAGCAGTTTACATCTCTTTCCTGAAATCATCTTGCAAAGCAGGTGAGGAAGACATATTTAATATCCCTATTGATGTGCTCATAGAGTAAGTGGCTGTCACAGAGTTGCTGGGTCAGGAAATGAAGCTGAGTCCCTGGGTGGGGCAGAGGTATCGTGTACCTCCATGGAGTCCTGAAGTTTTCTAGATGTGACTCCTGGCCCTACACCTCCAGATTCCATCTTACCTGTTTGGTTTCTTGCACAAGATATCTTTTTTTTTTTTTTTTTTTTTTTAAAGATTTATTTATTTATTTATTTATATAAGCACTGGGTGCAGTCAGAAGCGCGGGAGGGTGAGAGAATTCACCAGAGCCAGAGTGGGGAGCAGAACAGGCAGAAGGACCGAAGTACACTGCTGAGGGGAGCAGCGGGCACGGCAGGAGAGGTCTGCGCGCCATGTGGGACCCTCGTCCGGCAGCTGGGGAATCAAACTGGCACTGTAGAGGCTGCGGGCAGCTTCACAGCCCAGCGCTCAACCGCTGCGCCACCAGGGAGGCCCTGCACAAGATTTCTTTACGTAAAGGAGTCATTTCACCAGCCCATGGCGCAAAGACTCTAATGACTCACCCATCATCTTGAGCCTTCCAATTCTATCCATGAGCAGAGCAGAGATGATGTTTCCAGGCAAGACAGACAGGCTGCCAAGGAAGCTAACCAGGTAAATCAGGAAGTCGTTATCTTGCTCGAAGTCCATGTGGCAGCCCTCCTTCTGCTCCAGAAAGGTGGAATTGATAAACCGGCAGTTGATAAACTTGTGCTTGTAGAGGTCTGCAGAGAAAAGGACACTCTGGTCCACGTAAGGTTGAGGGGGCTGGGAGGCAAGGGCAGAGGCAGGAAAGAAGTTCTGCCCCCTCCATTGTCTTCTGCAAACCAGAGAGTCTCAAGGTCAATGTGGTGTGTGACCAGGTATGGTAATGACCTGCTCGAGTTCTCATAAGCAAGGGGAACACCAGGAACATGACGAGCAAGTCTAAAGGCATCCTCTCTCAGACCACACACCAGCCCTGCCTGCACAGGTGAGGTGACACCAAGGGCTACTGGCTGACAGCAGCAGGAGACAAGGACACTGGGTCCAGATTGAGCTGGTCCCTCTAGAACCCAGAAGCACTGAAACCTGACTAGTGTGCACAATGAAAGCCATTTGCCTGGTGGCTGCCCAGGCAGGGAGGGGGCAGGATGAAGGAGTGAGCACAGAGCATCTTCAGGGCAGTGAGAACACTCAGTGTGACATTATAATGATGGATACCTGTGTCCAAACCCAGAGAATAGACCACACCAAGAGCGGACCTCGAGGTGGGCAATGGATCGGTATGATTCTGATGTGTCGATTTGCTATCACAAAATTAGCAGCACTGGGGGCTGTTGATCATGGGGCAGCTGAGCTAGTGGGGGGGCCTGGGGTCTCAGGAACCTCTAGGCCTTCCTTCCAATTTTGTAGTAAACCTAAAACGACTCTTAAAAATTAAAAAGATGAAAAACATTCCTTAGGAGCTAGTTCCCATATCTTCTGACACCAGCTATTCTAGCAGAAAGAACTGGAAACAGGTTGTCAGGAAACCTGGGCTCGGAGCTCTGGCTCTGCCCCCACCGCTCGTGAACCTCCTCTGACATCAGAGGGTCACCTGCTGGTCTCTGACTCCAGGCTCTGATGCTTTGAGCCAACAGCATCTGCAAACTCCCCATGTTAAGAGGCGGCAAGGAGCATCACTAAAACTTGAAAGAAGAAAATTAAATATATGCCAGGTTTTAATAACAAATAGCAGAGTATGGAACTCATTTTTTTTTTAAGTTCAGGCTAAAAAGAAAGCCAGGAACAGAAATACCATAACAGGTTATTTAGAGACAGAGGGATATTTCGAGAGATTGAAACTTCTGAGGCTGACATCACGAGGGAGGAAAAAAAAAGTCACTGTGTGCACCATCTATAGGGGCCGGCAGCAGGGAGAAAGCAATGACTTGGGCAAATGCATGTGGTTCAGCAGAAGATCACAGGCCTCATGCCCCAGGAGTGGCTCCAGGTGATGCAGCATGCCCGCTGTGGCTTGCTTGGGCAGCATGTAAAGCCACATGTTCTGGGCAAAGAGGGGGCTACAGTGGATTCCCGCTTGCACACTTGCATCCACTCCACTCAGTGTGTTGCTACTCTATGATAAGTGGTAAATGCAACAAGAAGTGGGGGAGCAGTGTTTTAATCACAGACAGCTGAAATGGCACGATTGATAACAATTCTTCTCTCACTTCATGCATGAAGCTTCCAAAGACATGGTGTATCTTTCTCATCGACGCTCATGAGAATATGAGCCATGAATTTTGCAAATTTCAATTAATGCCAGGTCTTCGAGAAAACTAAAATGTGGCTTCCTGGGAGGCTGGTTTGTACCTGTATCACTGTTTTCTTTTGCCAACCAAGCATAGAGCCTCCATCCATTGAGATCAGAACCCTTGCCCAGAACTCTTGTTTCCATTTACATGTAATGAAACTGAGACACAAATCAATGAAGTGCCATGGTGAAGATGGTGGACCTAGCTGGTGCCTGGGCCCGGAACCCACCTCTCCATCCTAGGGCTTAACCATCTGTGGGTACTTTATTCCTCCTCACGCTTAGGACTGAGCAGTTCAGTTCTTAGGCAAGACTAGTCCAGCCTTGTGACCTTCTGCCTTCTATAAGCAGGTTCTTACCTGTGTTATAAAAGGTGGTTGATTCGATGGTGCAATTCTTGAAATAGGTATCCGTAGATGAAACATCTTCAAAAGTGCACATGTCAAACAGCGTGTCCTCAAAGACTACATGCTTAAAGTACATCTTTGTGAACCTGTGGAAAGACATCAGTCCCTGAGGGATTCGTGTAGGAAAAAGGAGACTCGACACCAATGTGCAAAACACAGGAAAGCAGAAAAAGAACTACAAACCCAGACCATTTCCCGAATTCTCTTTAATTAGACTGAGCTTCTTGAGGGTGACTCCATCCATCCTAAGACCTAACAACTAAGTGGATGTGACTTTGGCAGTTTCATCACCTGGAGGGTGAAGCATTGAGTGAGGGAGCTGACATGAAGTGTCTAGAATGAGGATTCTGCCCAAGACCCTGGCCGGCCCATGGTCTTTGTTTCCTTAAATTTCCACATCGGCTAACTTTTCTTTCGGTCCTGAAACTCTCCTGAAAAAAGAATCTTGGACCAGCTTAGTATATAAATTAGAGATCGGAGAAGATGATTTATATGAAGACTCATAAAATATGCCTTGGTCCTTTCTCCTTTTATCTCTTTCTTTATAACGTTGGCTTTTTATAGCTCATGTGGTGATACATTGTAAGGCCTGCCACCATCTGGCCCATCGATGATTTATGGCTCTGCTTTCTCACCCACCCTTGCAGACCATTAAAATCTCACCAAAGGTCACATCACTAGCCTGTTACTCTATTAAAGACGAGGACAGTTAAGAAATGCAACGGTGTGAGACAGCCTCCAGGTAGAGCTTTCTCGAGTAAACGCATCGCGCATACAAACTACATTAATTTTGAAATAAGAAGCATCTTCCTGTGACAAGATTCGCCAATTAGTTTTCCAATGGCCATCTGGAGAGGCCAGTGGTAGCTTTTGCAGGCCTTGGTTTAGAAGTCTGTAGCAAATGCAACCCGAAGGAAAATGACTCAAAAGAATTCAGCCTTCTAGACCAAAGAGCTTTCAATTTTTTTAGGTACAATGATCTGGGCTCTGCCTCTGGGGATTTTGTTTAGAGATGCCAAGGTTGGAATGTAGGCGAGTGCAACTCTCAGAATGGCTTCTGCTTTATCCTGAGGCCAATGGTCTGAAGACCTCTCTTTGGAAGCACTTGCCCAGCTCTCCTAACGGGGGGAGGTCTTTCTGTAGGTCTAATGGCTCTAGAGCAGAGCAGAATCTGATGTGGCTCTAGAGCAGAGCAGAATCTGAGGACTAGTCATCAGAGGTGGTCATGGGCTGAATCACCTGCCTCCCTTGCTCCCCGGGATTCCTACTGTACTGTGCTTCTCTGTTTGCTTCTTTTTTCCAGTTGGGGTTAAGGGCGGGGACCTTGTGTCTCCTCTCGCTGCCCAGAGCACCTGGCCCCAAGCTCAGGCAGTGTTTGCTAAAGGTAGAGTAAGCAAATAAATGAATAGACGAATGAATGGGATATAATTCTTCACAAATAAAGCTGTATCTAAAGGTAGTCTAAAAGTTTGGCCAAGCTTGGTAAACAGAACCAACTGAGGAAGACATCAGGGTGTATGCAATATTGTTCAGACAATATTGTTTCTGTTGGAGATGGAGGGGCACAGGGACACCCAGATGCCTGCTCCTCATAATCATCTAGATGCTTGTTAACTTAATGCTTTTAAGTGTATTTTTTAAAATTTCTACCCTAGGTTTAAAGGGAAGATTTAGTTGCTATCATTTCTAACCCTTATCCTACCTCCCCAGGGTCAACCGCATCTACCTGTTTCATGTAGAACTAGCAAGATGTACCACATCTTTACCTACGAGAATGGTCACATGCCATAAATACTACATGACATTTTATTTTTTTTAGTTACCAATGTATTTTGAAGATTTTTCCAATTAAGACATATTGACATATTGATTTACCTAATTGCTATAATGATTATATGGTATTCCATTGTGTGGTATCCATCCATCCATCCATCCATCCATCCATCCATCCATCCATTGTCTATCTCTCTCTTTCTAGTAACCCATTGCTGCTGTAAGCAATGTTGCAAAAAATAATCGGGGAATGTATCTCTTTGAATGCTTAAATAAGTATTTGTTAGTTAAAATCTTACAGGTGGTATTCCTAGGGATTATGCATTAAAATTTTTGCAAAATTGCTCTTCAAAGAGTCTGCACCAATGATAGTCTACCAACAGTGGGACTAATGGAGGTGGGCTACGAAATCACTTGAGAGGGGGCCCTTATAAGTGCCAATACCAGCTGCCAGAGCCAAGAGGAACCTCAAGAGACAGGGGTACCACCAGATGGGGTCTAGAGCAGGAAGAGAACACTGGGTAAAAACTAAGGAAATCCAAATAAAGGGTAGACTTTAGGTAATAACATATGATCTGATCCATTCATTGTAACAAAGGTGCTTACTAACATAAGACGCTTCTAGGTATGAGGCAGATGAAACTTTCCAGACTATCTTTGCAATTTCTTGCGAATCTAGAACTGTTCTAAAATTAAGTTAAAATTTTTCAACTATGTAATTGACAGGTGTTTTCGATTCTCAATTTTTCATCCTGAGCCATCACCCTTAGCCTCCAATTTGAACTTGAGAGAACTTTCTCCTACTTTTCACAGGCTGACTGTCTTACTTGTCCCATTGGAGGACCCGCACTAGCTTCCCTGTGGGATGTGAGACAACTCAGGGCCCTGCATTACTTCCTGTGTCACCACCCCTCCCAGACAGGAGTGGGGCACAACCAGGGGGGTTTAAATCAGGAAACCCTCCATCACACTGACCCTAAACATAGAAGGCTGTACCAAGAGACATTCCTTCCTAAGCAGAGAGGACAAGATCATTAGCTGACACATATTCTGGAGTGAAAAGCTGTCCTGCTTTTAATTAACATTAAGAGAAACTGAGCCTTCCTGGTGGCGCAAGGGGTTAAGATGCAACCTATGAAGCCATCTGCAGCCACTGCAGCATGAGTTCGATCCCTGGCCAGGGGTCTACCCACATGGTGCAATAGACCTCTTCTGTCTCCCCACTGCTCCCCTCAGCAGCGTACTTCAGTGGATCTGCCTGTTCTGTTCCCCACTCTGTCTCTGGTGAATCCTCTCATCCCGCCACCACACACCTCTGGCCTGTACCCCAGTTCATGTATGCATAAATAAATGAATGTTTAAAAATAAATAAATAAACAAAAATTAAGAGAACCTGGCCTGACATTTTTAACTTAGGGTCTAACACATGAACTTTTTCTTCTGCCTTTCTTGCCTCAATTCTGAAGCAAACACAGTGTGAGTGATCAGAGCTGCCCAACCCCACATGCTGCCCCGGGAGGCTCCAGATGGTATGTGGGGGCACAAAACCCCTGTGTGTGCTGTTTCTTCCTGGGGCTAAGGGCTCAGTCCATCCACAGGATGGAGTTTAGGTTTCAGTAGGAGCATCTTGATTGAAAACTCGCCCATCAGTGCACTCTGAAGCTCTGTTTATACAAGCGCCCCCACCCCCCAATCCCACCTGGGATAGTCAGTGAAGTAAATAATTTGCATCTGGATTTTAAAGCGGCAGAGTATGGATACCATCCATGGAGGACAGTGGTACCTATGAGAAAAATGCCCCACTGAGCTGAACATGAGCAGTTTAACTCCAATGAGGCTTGGGGTTTTCAAGATGAGAGCCTCTAGCTCTTGGCCCGCAGGTGGCAGCATAGCCCAAGCAAAGAAACTCATTTCTTCTTCCTTTACTTGCAACTATTCCAAGGAGAAAAACTCCTTTTTGTTAATTTTGCTGGAGAGGAAAGTTACAAATTTCTGCTGAGCGTGATGATGTTTTCAGTGTCCGTTTGTTAACAGACACATATGACAAGTTAAAAATGAACTTATGGCAACTTTTGAAAGAATGTATTTGTTAAGAATCACACAAAAACCTCCACACTTGAAACACAGAACATCAGAACACACAGACTATTTACAACCACTCCCAGACTACCCCTGGCACACCGCTTGGTAACAAGAAAGGTATGGACCCCAGTGTCCTGGCCCACAAGGCGAGACCCTTGCTTCCTCCTCACTCCCACCCAGCAGCTTGCTGGAAGCTCCAGTAGGCTAAGAAAGGCTACAGGGGGCAGCCTCAAAGGGGCATTCCTAAGCCCCATGGGCTGCTCAGCCCATCTCCTCTGCCCCAAGAGTAAATGCCAAGGTGTAGAACATATAGAAGATGCAGCCCCACTATGATATGGACTCAACTTTTCTAATATTACACTGATTCTTTTCCCCCCAAGGACAAGATTCTTGAGGTTGATGGGTCACACTGACTGACCCATGGAGGTAATATTAGATGAAAGAAAAACATAAGACAGTGAGTGTCATGTAAGCCTTGGCATGGAGAAGCTTCTATAATTTAAAAAAAAGTTGGTGCAGGGACCTCAGCAGTGGGAGCTTGGGGCCCTCCCCCAGGCAGAAACCAGTGACAGATACAGGACAATGGCTCTCTGTGTCTTCACTAAAGGTGCACATCTCAGAAAGATGATTGAATTGACCCTCCTCAGTCAAATGTGCTCTTCGTTGGGAGAATGCGTCATGGCCAGGAGATTAGGGACGAGTAGGACATACAGTCAGAGCCACAGGACACTGTTTTGTCTTTGACACCTGCAACTAACTGTGCTACCACAACAGCCCTGCAGCCCATCCCGCCATATTGAAGTCCCAACTTTTCAAAGAGTCTCCCAAGAACCATCCCCCACGACTCCTCCCTGATCTGGGGAAAGCCTCTGGGCACAGACTTACTTATCATTCACAAGTTTCCCATGTTGGTGAATCTGATTTTCCATCGTGAAGTTGATGGTGGCACCATATACGTGTTCCCCGAAAAATACCTTCATTTTGGATTTGTATTCTTCATCTTGATAATAGCGGATCATGTCAGGGAACCAAACTGTCAGTCCATAGTAGCTGTAATAGAGAAGACAGAATTTCAAGACATGCTTTATTCTTTCATGTTCAGAGTCTGCATTCCTGACGTGATGCAACATAAGCTCATTTGAAGTGTGTTGATATGGTTCATTGTTAGAAAATCTAATAATAAAACTCATATTAATAAAGTTAAGGAAAAATATGATTATTTCCATAAATGCTGAAAAGGCAGTTGATAAAAACAACATTCATTCTTAATAAAAACACCAATAGATTAGGAATGAGTGAACTCTTCCTTAACTTCTAAGAAAATACATATCTTAGTACAAAAGGTAGGTTCAGACTTAATGCGGAAATGCTAAAGACATATTTCCACTAACATCGGGACTAAGACCAGGCCACCAACTGCCACCAACACCATTTCTGTCTAGACTGAAGGGCTTAGACAACGCAGAGAGGAGAAAAACTTGGGAATATACAATTACAAAACAAGAGCTAAAATTATCTCTACTTGCAGATGATGTGATTTTTTTTTAACCTGGAAAACCCAAGATAATTGCCATTAAACGTCTAATCCTACTCACAATAATGCCTCTCTAAAGCATTTTTGTTCCATAGGATAAGAAATTTCGTCCTTGTAGAAGCCATTAGAGTGAACGGCCTCTTATTTGCAGGAAAGGCATCCAATCTGACACAGACTTCATGAGTCAGAAACAGCTGTAATCCTTGATTTATAGATGAAGGTGCCTGAGGCACATGGAAATTAATAAACTGAATTAGGAGAGACTTACCTTAAGGCCATGGTGAACCAGACCACTGCCAGAATCAGCGTGTTCATCCTGAAGGGCCCCATCACACAGTAGAGGGCATTATCCCACACCTGCAATCCACACCAAGAAGGTTTGCTAAAGGGAGGAACTTGTGATTTGGAAGGGCTCATTCTCAGATTTTCTAATAATCGGCATAGAAACCCATGGAGAGAATGGGGAATGATTATCTCCCAGAGGAGGCAATTCTGTTCAAACAACAATGGCTGCCATGTGAACATATTGGGAGTGTTCTGGAGGGGGGAAAAAACTCTCCTCCCTGACCTAACAGACAAGGGAGCAAAGCCATCTCCACAGAACTGAAGTCAGAACCCACTTCCTGTTCTGTGAAGCAGCCACACAGGGATCTGCTACCTATGGATACACCAGCCTTTCAACTACCAATGACCAAGGAGGCATAGAATGAAGATTAAAAAATACGGGTCCCCAGCCTTTCGTCTCCACTGGTGTACCCTTTAGAAATCAGGGAAGTGACGAAACCCCAGCATTTGGCCTCTTCTAGCATCAGAAGAGGCCTCCCTCTGCCTGGCCAGAAGTACTCCAAAAGTCCTCCCCCTGCCTGGCCAGAAATAATTATATTGCTTACATCAATGACTCACTGCTCCTATCTGTGTAAACCAAAGTCACACTTAACGGTGGTGGGAACCTGTCTCACGGTCAAATCTGTCTGCTGGCTTCCCACATTCAAGCCCTCACTCTGATTATCTGATAAACTCCTTGTCTAACTAGTATTAAAGAGACTTTTATTTCAATCAACAGTCTCTTCTCTTCTTCCAGGCTGGTCTCAAGCTCTATCAGTGCTGTAACATCTTCCTGGGAACACAGCAAAATGCCGTGCGTGTGAGCCAGAGCACGTTGAGCAGGGATTTCAGGGCACTGAATAACCTTAACAGGTGAGTTCTCCTCCTGCCTGTGGGGGCTGGTGACGTTCCAACACTGAACAACCAGCCCTCATGGAGGCGACTCTGTGGGCTGCCCCGGGGCTAAACAGCGGACTTGCCTGGGGGACCACCTCTCAGGGGAAATGATCCTGTCCATGAAGATTTTCTCAGAAATCACTAACAAAGCTTAAGGAGTCATTTCTTTTACTCATTGCTTTCTTTCTATGGCTTATTTAGAAGTTGCTAGAGAGAAGGAAGTTTACTCAGATCAGGCATTTTGCTTATATTCAAAATCTCTGCCTTGGGAAGGAAAGGCAAAAATACTAAGGATTGGAGAGTTGGTGGTTCAAGGGCTCTACTGGGACCAAAGACAGTCTGCCCCGGATGTGCTAAGTGGCTGGTGAAGAGACAGAGGATATAGGAATGATGTTTGGCCTAATTCTCCTCCACGAACAGAAAATTTCTGGTGATCTGGTAGGTGGGAGACAGTCTCACAGCCTTAGGCATGCCAGATCTGTTTAGGTTCATATGTAGATGACCCTGCAAAATTCCTTTAAGTTCCAAAGTTCTTTGTTCTGTTTTTCCCTCCTAAATTTATTGTCCCCTTTCTAGAGATGACATAGCCTCACAGGAATGACCAGAAGTTTTTCTATAGGTTCCTGTGTGCATGAGATTAATTAAAGTTCATCTTTTTTCTTGCTAATCTCTCTGGAGTTAACTGAATTACTTTTTAGCCTATAGACCTACAAGGGTAGCAGGAGACTGGCTTCCTCCCCAATAGCTCACAGCAAGTGAGAGACGAGGAATGGGCTAGAATCAAACCTCTGCATTAGGGGTGCTTGCCCCCCCCATCCCAGTGTCCTGGGGTGGACAGGAAGGCATCAGGACCACTATTCTTAGTCCACTGAGGTTACGGATTTCCACAGGGCCTTCCTCCCCTTCACGGCATGTCCCAAGTCATACCTGCTTGAAAGTGGTTGTGAACCTGACCAACCAGCGCTGGTACCAAGTTCCTGTCGAACTTTGGATCTCTATGAATTCATCCATTTGCTTGGGAGTCTTGATGTTGGAAACCTGCAAAGCAAAGATGGTCTGGACAATCTTAACTCCATTTTGTGCCAGATTTTTCCTTTTTTTTTTTTTTTTTTTTTGTTTAACATAACTGACTTTATTAATTTATTGCGTGTTAGAAGAGCCTTCGGTGAACTCTAGTTCAATGATTCTAAACCAAAGACATACATAGCAGAGCTCAGGGCTTTTTGCAGGCAGCTATATCTCTTTGCAGATAAAACAAATCAGTCTCTTGACTTCATCACGCCTTTGGGAAATCAGTGGCCCATAATACACTGAATTTCCATTCACATCTGGAAATGGAGCTCCAGAACCTGGCTGCTGGTGGACTTGCTTGCCTGCAGGGTCAAATTAGGGAGAAGCGTAGGGTCTGATCTCTGAGGACAGAAACTGCAGGAGGAAGAGCCTTGGTCCAGAAGCCAGAGATTTCTGGTCTCTTGGTGCCACAAAATGCTCCTATAGGGGATCAACTACCTAGGCTGAGTGAAAACATGGTGCCAGTCAGGGAAATGCTGACAAAGACTGGGCTTGCTTTCTGGGTGTTTGGAGCAGCAACAGGAGGCCATACAACCCAGGCATATGCAGAAGCAATTAACCTGATGCTGAATTCAAGTTGGTCAGAACCAAAAAACAGCCTATGCTGGTGGAGAGGGGAGATATTTCCATATACATAGACCCAATGTACCTAACTGATCTAATTCTGCCGAACACATTACTCCCTCATTCCTAGGTCTTTCCTTCCTTTGTTTGCTTCCATAAAACCAATCTTGGCTCCCAGATTGGGGAGAGAGATTTAAGCCCTGTTTCGTGTCTGCTCATGAGTCAAATGGCAATTAACTCTTTTTTTTTCTCAAAAAAACCCCAATGTCATACTATTGACTGCTTTTTTTTCTTTTTTAAAGATTTATTTATTTACACAAGCACTGGGTACAGTTAGAAGTGCAGGAAGGTGAGAGAATTAACCAGAGCCAGAGCGGGGAGCAGAGCAGGCAGACGGGCGAAATACACTGCTGAGGGGAGCAGCAGGCACGGCAGGAGAGGTCTGCGCACCATGTGGGACCCTCGCTGGTGGCCAGGGATCGAACTGGTGCTGCAGAGGCTGCGGGCAGCTTCACAACCCAGCGCTCAACCGCTGCACCACCGGGGAGGCCCCATACTATTGACTTCTATGCACATCAGTCAGCAAGCCCACTGCTTGGGTGAAGGGCAGTGGGAAGGGGAACCTGCCTTGTGAGCTATTTTAAAAATACACCAGAACAAGAGAAATGATATCCTCTTGGTTTTCCCGGTGGAAATCAAAGATACATGGAGATCAAGTTGTATACCTCAGTGTTCCCCTCAAGGGCCCTAAAAGTGTTGATTTAATATCAGCAGGAAGCCCCAATGGGCAATGCTTATTCCCAAGACAGTGATTTTCAAGTTAACTGATGCTCAAAGCAGTCACTGAACTATCTTGATAACTATTATTTCAAGGAGATTCCTGACTTCACGAATCTTAACCAAATGATCAAGGTCCTTGCTTTCTGACCTCTTCAGAGGACAATGGAAGAGCAAACTCAAAAATACTCAAAAGCAGCATCACCTCTTCCAACTATCACTGCCTCCAACCTTTTGTCTAGGGTAAGAGTGACTCATCTTTTTTCTTCAAAGGACTGAGAGTATGAGAAGACAAGAGTAACAGAGATGGGATTGGGTAAACCACAGAGATAAAAGCCAGTGCCTGGATGATAGACAATTAACTTCTTAATTCCCAAGCACTAAGCCGGGGAAGGCTTGGCTATGCTTCGCTAAACCCTAGACACAGTGGTTCTTAACCTCCTGGGAGAGCAAGGCAGTCCTTTGAGAAGCTGGTAAGAGCAGAGTGACTCTTACTGAGCCGGCAGGTAGCACTTGAGAGCCTCCTGAGTGTACCCCTTCATTTCCAGGTGTGTGGCCTTTGCAAATGCTCTAGGGATACAGGAGATCCACACAGCAAACCCTGCAGTAAAACTCTTGGCTGGAGCAGGGCTTCCTGTATCTGACACCCCCAGGGAGGCCAGGAACCCTTGCTGCAGCCAAAAGAGGCCAGAGGGTAAGGGAGACACCAAAGCAGGAAGCACCTTAAAAATCACACTCAAAAGCGTTAAGATAATCACTTAAATGCAAACTTTTCTTTTTTCTCTTGGAGGAAAAATAACACCCTTTCCCCTAGGGATTTGGGAGTGGGTGTGTTGACAACATCAAGCACAATTACTCTAATTTACAATTAAGTAGGATACTTGCTTTGATTCAGTACAAATTAGACTATTGTCTATGTTCACCCCAGATCTGCTGTTGGTTCTCAGGGGAACACTTCAACTCATGCCCGTTCCAGAGGTTTCACAGGGAGACCTGCCACATGGCAGTTCAGAAACGTGTAAGGGTAGTGCCTGGCTGGGTTGGAAAATCAAATTGACAGATTAACAGAAGAAAAGCATATATATTTTATCAAATTTTTACACGTATATGGGAGTCTTTACAAGAGAACGAAGATCCAAAGAAGTGACCAGAACAAAAAATTGTTATACCCTTTAGAAAAAGAAACAATAAATTGGAGAAGGGTTGATCTGACGAAGGCGTATGGCTGTGGGATAATAGATGGCGACAGGGTGATAAGGCTTATTTGCACAGTTTGTTTACATAGTTTTCTTGGCCCTAAAGTCCCTGCATCTGATGATCCACTGAGGCCTCCCACAGCAACGAGCTGAGCAGGTGTGAGTTAAGCCAGGGAGTTGTGTCTCCCAAAATATATAGTTAACTAGACAAATGGCAAATCAATAAAATCTGATTTAAAAAATCCTCTTGAAAAAGAGAGAAATGAACTTGACGTCAGTCTTCAAGGAAGTGATGCAAACAGGTGCACAGAGCTGCCTGCCTGCCACGGGCGGGCTCCCTCATCATTGGCCACAAGCATGGAGAGAATTAGGTGGCATCTTGGTGTCTAAATAACAGGGCAGCCAACTAACTAATGGGGCATCTACCTAATGGGCCATCATAATGATAATTAACATTTATTTGCCTTTCACTTTTAAAATAGCAAGTAACGAATTCGGGCTACTAACCAATGCTGTCAAGGGTGCAGAGAAATGGGGATCCCATTGTTTGTGGCAATGAAGGCTGGGACACCCCACTGAAGTGAACTTGGCCATATGTCATAAGAGCTATCAAAATATACTCTTAGAGCCAATCACTTTATTTTAGGACTCTACTCTTAGAAAATAAACCCAAAACATGAAGTGGGGAGAAACTATGTGTATAAGAAAGTTCACTGCAGCTGTATTTACAAGAATGAGGTTAAAAAAATCAACAGGTAAATAAATCTCTAATATTAGTGATATGTTTAGGAAAACTACATTAATGCTCCTAATATTAGTGTTCATTAAAAGAGTGGTTATGCCACTATGGAGAGCTGTGTGGAGATTCCTCAACCTGCTAAAGATGGAGCTTCCATAAGATCCAGCAATTCCACTCCTAGGTATTTACCCAAAGGACACAGAAACATTCATTCCAAAGGGCACCTGCACCCCTATGTGTATAGCAGCACTATTTACAATAGCTAAGCTTTGGAAACAACCCAAATGCCCAAAAATAGATGACTGGATCAAGAAGATGTGGTATATATACACCATGGAATATTACTCAGCATTCAAAAAAGATAAACTCATGCCATTTGCAGCAACATGGATGGAGCTGGAAGGGATCATGCTCAGCGAAATAAGCCAGAAAGAAAAAGAAAAATACTGGATGGTCTCACTCATAGCAGGAATCTAGAAAACCTAAATAAGGGACCAGGAAAGAGACTAATTATCATAAAGAAAAAATCAAAATCAACAAGCAGCTATAAACCAGAGACACAGTATGGGGGAAGAGGAGGGAGAAGAAGAGGAATTAGGGTCAAAATAAGGGGGTGGGAATTGTATGGGGAATATAACCAAGATGAAAATGCATACATTGTGCAATAATGAAAAATGATGTAAGAATTATATAAAATAAAATAAAAATAAAGAGGGGTTATGAATATAGTAATATTACAGGGCAGCAGATAAGATGCTTATGAACACTCAAACAACACACACACGTGCCTGCATTTATGCTGTATGAGCACAGCTAGTTTTCCCTTCTGTTATTTTCTAATGATTGGGAGCACCGAGAAGGGTGTCCATCGAAATGCAAAGAATGATGATGATCCAGTAACAGAAATGTAAGGGTTTTATTATCCTTTTGACAAATATTCTGATGACATAATAGAAGTTTTTTTTTTTAGCAAACAAAGCAAGAAGGAGAGGCCCCTCCCGTGGACGGAGGTGAAGCCACACTCACCGTGAACACCTTCTCTGGAGTCCCTTTAGCCCTCATGTTGGTGTCATGGACTCGCTTGAGAATCATCCAGGCTTCGTCATGTTTACCCATCTGTTGAAAATCAAGGAAACAGACCTGAAAAAGTTGTTGCTGATAACAGATGGAAAAGCCTAGAATCCCAGGTGCTGATACCTGAGTCCGAGGAAGCTGGACCCGGACTCACAACTGTCCAGGATGTGTGGATGTGTAGGCCAGGTTCCTGGTCCAGGTCCCTCTTGGAGGGATAATAAGGCCAGGCCTTCAAGAGGTAAATGCTAAGCCTCATTGCACTGTACGTGATTATCATGACACGTTACAAGTGCTCATAACCTTGAGGTTGAACATGGGTGGAGCCATGTTCCTCACTGACTAGATCAGACAAAAAGTAACATGTTAGGGGTTGCAGTACATCCCCTAAAAAAGACATGCTGATATCCCCCCAAAATGGACATGCTCAGAGTATGAATTTATTTGGAAATAGGGTTGCTGCAGACAGAGTTCATTAAGGTGAGTTCACGCTGGAGGAGGGTGGGCCTTGGTCCAACCTGGCTAGTGTTCTTATCAGAAGACGCCTGTGAGAAGACACAGAGAACCTGTATGACCACAGAGGCGGGGATTGGAAGGATGCAGTGTCAAGCAAAGAAACACCAAAAAGTGCCAGCAACCTACTAGAAGCTGGATGAGGAGAGGAAGGAGACCCTTACAGACTTCAGAGGGAGTGTGGTCGTGCCAGCATCTCGGTTCTGAACTGCTAGCACCAGAACTAGGGGACAGTGCAGTCCCGCTACTTTAAGTCGTTCAATTTGAGGCCCTTTGTGACAACTTCCCTCACACCTTTGTGTTAGACAATGCGGGGCAGGGTTGCGATATCCCTGCAGCACCCGTTCCCTGATCAATGGGCAAAAGCAGGAATTCAGCAAAGAGGAGGACTTGGCAGAAGGTTCTAGAAGGAGGCACATGAATGGACTCTGAGAACTGAGGCTGTGAGAGTCACTGGGGCCTGTTGCCCTCTGCCCACCCCTGCCCTGCTGACCACTGGACATGGCAAAGGGTGGGGAGGAGAAGCTTTTAGGAGAACGGGGGACCCTTAGAGTCCTGGGGGCCTTAGGAGCAGCAATGAGCTTTGTCACAGATTTCACTGCCACGACTTGGACGACAAGCATGTAACTGAAGCATCTCCTCACTGGGGGCTTGGAAGAGAGTGGGTGCAAGGCCACAGCCTCCATCCCTGCCCACCTCTGGGAGTAGTCAACGCAGGCAATCCAGGGCCCGTAACTGTCACCAGCAGCAACAGGCCCAGGCTGAATGAGCGGCAGGTCAGCTGACCTGGGGTGGGGTGCAAAGCACACGTGCAGAAGGTGGGGCTCCAGACTCACCTCCAGCAGAAACCTCGGGCTCTCGGGCATGAACTTCAAGGCCAGCAGGGACACGGTGCAGGGCAGCGCGCAGACGATCACGAACACTCTCCAGCTGTGGAAGTGGTAATTGGTGCCCATGCTGAAGCCCCAGCCTGTGAGGAAGCAGTGAGGGTTTCTGACCCAGGATTTCAGAATGACCTTGACACTGGCTCTCAAATTCTAGGGCACCAGAGTGCCACCTGGGAGCAGGTTCAAATGCAGATGCCCCACCTGCGTCCCCAGGCCTGGGATGGGCACTGGGAATCCCGACCTTGACAACCGCCCTGAAACATCTGGTCCAGCATCTACTGGGACTTGAGGGCGAACAGGGACAACATTCCATATTTCTACACGTTTGTTACAATTTAATAAGCTACCAAATAAGAAGTGTCCTATAACCCATCCCCTGACAAATAATAAGCTGGAAGGCTGGGCCCAGAGCTATACAGGACTGCCTTTGGGAGCCCCTTACTCCTTCTCCCCGACCCTCTGGACAAGAAGCCTCATGTCAACAGTGGGGGGACACACCATATACATCACATGGTGAAAATGGGTATCTTTGTCCTGCTCCCTGGAGTTTAGTGGGAATTCAGGGCCCTGGGTACCCAGATCATAACCAGATGAAGGGAAAAGGTCATGGCCTCAGAAACCCCTTGCCTCATAGGAAAGAAAGGCAGCTGGAGAAAACCCAGAAAGGGACTTAAGTGACCTGAGGTTCAGGATGAGGGATTCCTCTTACCCAGGTCAGGGGGCAATACCAGCTCCAGGTGATCACGACACCAAGGCTAGACCGCACTTTGGAAAACACTGTCAGACCCAGCACTGTTTTTTGTTTTTGTTTTTTTTTTTAAGATTTATTTATTTATTTATACAGGCACTGGGTACAGTCAGAAGCGTGGGAGGGTGAGAGAATTCACCAGAGCCAGAGCAGGGAGCAGAACAGACAGACTGATGAAGTCCACTGCTGAGGGGAGCAGCGGGCGGCAGGAGAGGTCTGTCCCGCCATGTGGGACCCTCACCTGGTGGCCGGGGATCGAACCAGCGCTGCAGAGGCTGCAGGAAGCTTTGCAACCCAGCGCTCAACCACTGCGCCACCCGGGAGGCCCAGCGCTGTTTATTTTTTAAGATGAACTTCAACAGCCAAGTTAATCCCACCATCATGGGGTGGAGAGGCGACTAACTCCTCTTCAATGACCATCATCCAAAGCATTTCTAGAACTCGTTTCAGCACTTATAAGGCATTATTGAGACTATCGCTATGGGCAGCAAGCTTCCCTCTGAGCAGCGCTAACCCTGACCCCTCACCTGGCTGTTGTGACTTGGGTTTCAGGCGTGGACTGCAGGTAACGGCACAGGTTTGCTGTGAGTTCCCAACAACCAAGAAGCACTCGCCTGCTTCAGGGGCAGCTTGTTTTGTGTACAAGAAACTGCAGAACACACAGTGTCAAAAGGGCCCCATAAAATTGGGCAGATCAGCAAAACAACTGTCTTCAAAAGCCACTGTTCATGAAACAGACTGGTTTTCTCCCACCCCCTACGGTTTCTCTAAAAACAATTGCAACTCCGTTTTTTTAAAAACACAAAACTATCTACAGTGTACACTGATTTCTGAGCTTCTGAGGGTAATATTTGGGTGTAAAATTCCTGTCTCATTTACTGGAAAAACAACATGTGGCCGAGCGGAGTAGTGGCCAATTCTGAATTCTCCATCCCTCCCACTCTGGTTCAGCCTGTTCTGCTTACAGCCGCCTCCTGTCCAACCAACCCCTGCTGTTTCTGCAGACATTTCCCACTCCACTTGCACAGTTGAGTAGCCAGAGGGAAACCCAGGTGGGGTCACATGGCCGGGGACCGTGCTGACACACTGGCCACAGCACGAGGACACACACGTCATTTAATGTCCTCACCAGGACCAAATCTCCCCGCGCTCAGTTCAGGCTACTCTTGTCTCAGGCCTGTACCCATGAAATCCAGAGGCACGTTTTTGAGTTTTGTGACTTTTCTTTTTTTTTTTAAAGATTTATTTATTTATACAAGAACTGGGGTCCATTGGTTAATTTTAACTTTAACTAAAGAGTCTTTTCTTTCACCTGGGAATTACACTAGGAAGGGAGAGAAAACCATGGTAATACTGACATAGTCTCAGCTTGTGTCCCAAAACTACTCTGGCATAACGAGAAGGGAATTAGTAATTAGTAAGTAAAGTTCATCAAAACTACATAGAGCCGGGGCCTCCCCGGTGGTGCAGCGGTTGAGCGCTGGGTTGTGAAGCTGCCCGCAGCTTCTGCAGCGCGGGTTCGATCCCCGGCCACCAGGTGAGGGTCCCACATGGTGCGCAGACCTCTCCTGCTGCACCTGCTGCTCCCCTCAGCAGTGTACTTCGTCAGTCTGCCTGTTCTGCTCCCTGCTCTAGCTCTGGTGAATCCTCTCACCCTCCCACGCTTCTGACTGTACCCAGTGCTTGTATAAATAAATAAATAAATCTTTAAAAAAAAAAGACTTAAAAAAAAAAATCCTACATAGAGTTAAACTCTGATGGACAGCACAGGAGGACAGGCAGAAGCGGGTACGTCTATGAAGTATTCTTCCCCCAAAGATATTTTTTTCTTTCTGATAATATGTGTAAATGATTCCAAATCCACTGTTCCTTCATGTCTCTGTGAGTTTTATGGCGATTGTAGTAATCCACACTTAATGAATTTATTAGGCACATCCTTGGGGCCTTACATTAAATAAAATTAAACAGTGAACTGCTTCCAAGTATGTGGAACAACGATGCATTTGGAGACGGGGATTGTTCTACTCGCTGGCCTCTCACCTCGCCCTACTTTTCTCCCACAGGGGTTCACAAGCTGCCGTGGCGCTGACACGTGGGCTTATCTCTCATTATACAGCCATTTTCTTGAGGCTGTACCCATGAAATGCAGAGGAACATTTTTGAGTTTTGTGATGTTTCTTTTTCTTTTTTTTTTTTTAAAGATTTATTTATTTATACAAGAACCGGGGTACAGGCCAGAGGTGCAACAGGGTGAGAGGATTCACCAGAGACAGAGCGGGGAGCAGAACAGGCAGACTGACTGAAATACACTGCTGAGGGGAGCAGCGGGCAAGGCAGGAGAGGTCTGTTGCGCCATGTGGGTATCTCCCTGGCCGGCCAGGATCGAACCTGTGCGGCAGAAGCTGCAGACAGTTTCACAGCACTGTGCTCAACCACCTGCGCCACAAGGGAAGCCCTGATTTTTCTTTTTCAGTGACTCGCTCTCCCAAGTTCCTGGTGCCAAGATCCCCCAACACGTCATTCCTGCCAAAGAGATGAATCAGGTCACCCCGACAAAACGGGTTGCCCCAACACCCGCCTCCTCTCATAGCTTCCGGTGCATTTATCACTGGCAAGCGTCAGAGGATTAACGACTTAGGGGTATTGAGAAATACTGTCAAATATCTGGCTGACTGTGAACAAAACATCCAGTCCTGGTAAAATGAGGCTTAAAATAAACAATTACTCACGTCACACTGTTGCTCTGGTCTGCCTTCCCCTATGGTAATGGGGGGTGGCCCTCCCCCATGTTAATGCCTGTTTCAAAGGAGCCTAATCATCCAAGAGGCTTCTATTTTAGAACAGAATGTTAAAGTCAGAGATTCCATACAGGTGTACAAATAAGTAAGTGTCCTGTTCATTTGGGGTAAAAGATTTAACCACAAGCCCAGCTCTGGGCCAACAGTGAAGGCGGCTGCCACAGGGAGGTTGGCCAGAGCTCAGGGCCCCTCTCTGTGGGATTTCCCTTCAGTCTTGGTCTATATGCTCCAGCCTAGATTCTTCTGCTCTACTAGAAATCAGATACCAGGCCTCTCTGGTGGCACAAAGGGTTAAGCGCAGCACTATGAAGCTATCCACAGCCTCTGCAGCACGAGTTCGATCCCCAGCAGGCCAGGGAGCAACCCGCATGGCACAGCAGACCTCTCCTGACTCACCCGCTGCTCCCCTCAGTAGTGTATTTCAGTGGATCCGCCTGTTCTGCTCCCTGCTCTGTCTCTGGTGGATCCTCTCACCCTCCACACTTCTGGCCTGTACCCCAGTTCTTGCATGCATAAATAAATTTTAAATTAAAAAAAAAAAAGAAAGAAACCAGACGTCCAGACACTGGAGTGTGATTGTGTATAAAGCAAAGCAAAGAAAACGATGCCTTTGGAGCAGCTATCAGGGGTCCCCTCACAACGTTCCCATCCCTCCTCTCCCACTGTGTTTCAATTGAGTGACTTGGGTGGGAATGACCCCACCTCTGGAGCCAGGGATAAGAAAGGAAGTATATGAGGACCTGGCCTCCTCTGGGGTGCAGTGATTGGCTGAGATGGGCACGTGAAAAACAGTGAACTGCTTCCAAGTATGTGGAACAACGATGCATTTGGAGACAGGGATTGTTCTGCTCGCTGGCCTCTCACCTCGCCCTACTTTTCTCCCACAGGGGTTCACAAGTCACCGTGGCGCTGACACGTGGGCTTATCTCTCATTATACAGCCATTTTCTTGGGCTGTACCCATGAAATGCAGAGGAACATTTTTGAGTTAAAATGATCCGATCAGAGCGAAGTCAAAGCTGGTTCATTGGTTGGGTTTGAGAAAGTCTTTGTGAAGCAAGAGTCTGCAAGAAGGCCTAGGGTTGCTAATGTTGGGGGTGTGGGGGGGGGATAGCTAGTCTGAGTAATAGAATCAGCTCAAAATTTTTTTTGACATTCCTCTTTGCATCCCAGGAATTAACGCTAGGGCTGGCCCGGATCTCCACGGTCAACTCTCTTGGCTCCTCCCACCTTCATTTTATAGGGGAGGGACAAGATGGAGTGACTTGTCCCAAATCACACAGTACCACTCTTTTGACTCAACTTTTATTCAGATTTTACTTGTCCTCTCCTGCCCTAAAAGATTTATCTCACTTAATTTCCACGTGGAATTAGTCTCTTGGTGAGAAGAAGGAAAATGATATTTTAGCAGGAATCGTGCAAAAAGAGCAAAGCAATTCCTCAGACTCATAACAAACAGCACAGCACACAGGTGATTAAAGTGCCTCCTTGGGTGGAGGGTACAGTGCAGAGACCAGCATTAGGAGTAAGTAACACAATTCATTGTTCATTTGGGGTAAAAGATTTAACCACAAGCCCAGCTATGGGCCAACATTTTGTGTCCAAATTAGGGAGACTTGCCTAGAGTGATAAAATCATGCAGAAAACTCTTCAACCCTTGATTTCATTATTCCCCTTCATATCTCTTCTCTGTTTCTGACACCAAACCCAGTGGGCTCTCAACCGTCAGTTATGGCAAAGACCACCTGATGTTCCCAAACCCACTTCCTCCATTTTCTGGGCACATGGCAAGATTTCCCAGTGTCCTCTGCAATGGGGTGTGGTCACATGGTATAGATTTAGGACCACTGGAATGTGAGCAGGTAGGGTTGTGCTCTGCTTCTTAGCCTGCCCTTCTAAAGCACCCATGTGCTGCTGCCCACAAACCAGGGAGTAAGATGCATGTTGAAGAAGGTGGGGTGACAAGCTGGAAGGAATTTGAGACCTGAAATCACTGATGGAGCAGAGTTGCATCAGTTTCCAGCCTGCACAGGATGGGGGAGACTTCTACTGTGTTAAGTCACCGAGATTTCAGATCAGATGACCGGAGTAACGTACCTTAAAAGTAGAGTAGGCATTGTCTACACCAATGCTACTTTTAAAAAAAGGCACACAGCATCTCCATTAGTTCAGAATACATGGAAAGCATCAGATTTAAGGCAGTGGGTGGAGGTGAATGGGTAAAGAAGTGATTAACCTCAGAGGCAAGTTTCTATTAGCCCCTCAGTCTGTAGGATTCTCAACGATGGTTTTGAAGGATGCTGACAGCACTGCACAGTCATGATCAAATTCAAAACTGCTGCCTTTTTCCTGCTTTACTGCTAAGAAAACCAACAGTGAAAGTTGATGTTGCCAGGCCCCAGCCTAGAGAATCCAGATTTGCAATTATCCAGCATAATAAAATTGTCCCAGCTGAAACCAAGGCATTATCTGTAAGGGCTACTCCACACCTCAGGGAAACAAGATTGACAGCCGTCCTGAAAATGGCAAGTGTACAAGAGTGCCTCAGGGTGAGGGCAGGTGCATCAAGACTCAGGGTCACACCATGGTGTGACGTTAGCAAAATCACCAATTTCTCTTGGCTTCTGTTATATCATCTATAAAATGGGGTTACCCAAATCTAACTTTTTGGGGGGTTAGAGAGCTAGAGAAGATGAAGGTTGAAATCCCTTCAATCAGAAGGAAGGAAAGAAGAGAGAAAAGCATGGAGGAAGGGAGAGATGGAGAACAGACCATTTGCAGAAAGGCAGGTGAATTGAAATTAGCAGGGTGTCTACAGGACTGCAAGTTCTTTCGAAAGATCGAAGTCAGACACAGGAACTAGGTGAGTGGGAGGAACAAAGCTGAGGACAGGAATGGAGTTGGGATCCACAGAGAGGGGCCCGGGTCTGGGGAAGCCCGCGTGCTCACCGTAGTGTGGAATGATGCTCCAGGCCATGGCAGACGCGTAGAGGCCGCCGGTCATCCAGAAGATGCCCAACCAACTGAGGTGCTCGCCTCGCTTTTCCCGGGACAGGAATTCAGAAAAATAGGCAAAGACAATGGGCAGGGCACCCCCAATACTGCAGAGAGAAAACACCAGAAGGAATGAATCAAACCATAGGCAAAAAATGGTCATAGCCGAAACCAAGTGGTGTGGTACCCCGCCCTTAAGCTCGGTGGTGGAAGAATGCAGTGACACTAAAAGGCAGCACAGGGCCCCTTGACCTAACACAGTGGCTGACACCCCCTTCCAAGGCCCAACGTTCACACAGTATCTTGGAAGTCCCAAAACTCAGTCCAGGGTTTCCTGGAGGTGCCACTGAAGCCAGACAGCTGGGAGAGATGCCCCATGGACCTAGTGTCCAGCGGAAGCCCCCGGATCACATACCCTATGCCTGAGATGAGCCTGCAGAAGAGGAAGGCCCCGTATCCCTGCACGAAGGACGACAGGGAGGCGAAGGAAGCGTTGATGGCCAGAGATGTGCTGAGGACTCTCTTCCTCCCCAGCTTATCGGCCAGGCCCCCCAGGACGAAGGCCCCCGCCATCATTCCTAGGTACACTATCAGCCCTGTGAGGAGGGGAAAGAGAAGGGAGAGGGTGGAGAGAGAGCAGCATCAGACACCATGCGATGTTTTAGAAAACCCAATACCCACATTCGTGCATCTAAGAAATTCCACGTCACAGCCATAAGAGGTGGCCGGGAACAGACGCGAGCGGCCAATCAGAGCGCAGTGCAATGTGACTTCTCAGGAACGCTTTTCCCAAAAACTTTGCTTCGTCAGGGTTACATATGGACACATCCTAAAAGAGACCAAGCCAAACTGGGGGTGATGAGCATTTCTAAGGGACGTCTCTTGGAGGTGCATCATCCACCGAAGACAGAAACACTGTCATTTTATTTTCAAGCAAAATAAAGGGGTGAAGGTTGTGTTACAAAAGTCCTTACAGGGTTATGTTTAAAGAGAAATCCTGCAGGGTTATGTTTAAAGGGAAAATTTCCAGTGGAAAGCATGGCACAGTGAGTATGGGGAACTTTGGAAAGAAAGAAAATGGTGCAAATGTGAAACAGCAATTGCCAATAAAGGTCAACCATTTAATTAGATGCCCAAGAAGGACTTTTGCCAAGTTACAGCCAGGGTTCACGTTCCTTCGAGGCGTGCAGGAGGGGTAGCAGTGACCAGTCCCTTCTTCAACACTACCTGTCTTACAAGAAAATTAGTTCATTTAAGATATCACATAAATAGGCGAAATAAGCCAGAAAGAAAAAGAAAAATACCAGATGGTCTCACTCACAGCAGGAATTTAGAAAACCTAAATAAGGGACCAGGTAAAAGACAAATTATAATAAAGTAAAAATCAAAATCAACAAGCAGCTATAAACCAGAGACACACTACAGGGGTTGGGTGGGGAGAGGAAGGACTAGAGTCAAAATAAGGGGGGGTGCAATTTTAAGGGGAAATAACCAAAATGAAAATGCATACATTGTGAAAAAATGAAAAATGATGTAAGAATTATATAAAACAAAATATTAAAAAATATATAACAAAAGATATCACATAAATATATTGTTGCAGACAAAATTATAGTATTTCAGCATCCTAGGTGGCCAATCTTCAGACATACACAGACAATTATTTCCTATTAAATAATGAGTGTTTACTAATTACTGATGACTCTGCCAAGTGCAAATATCAATTACTAAATCTGAGAAGGAAACTTTGCACAGTATCTTGTGTGCAGAGAAAACGCTGAATGCAAACTCATTAGCGAACGACCTACCCCTCTGTCCAGTCTTGACTGTACGCCAAAGGAGGAATACAAACTTTCTTTCACATAAAGGAAGGTTTTCTGGCCTGAGAAGTTGATTTTATGCAGACGTGTGCCCAGAAGGGCCAAATAAAGCAAAGAATTTTAAGCAGCATTAAATGAAGGTGGGTCTCCAAAGGGAAACATGTAGCTATGCTCTGCTCAAATTCCCAATGGAATTTCCTTCTTTTATCATCTTATTCTATGAGATGAAAGCAACTTTGGTGCTGTCAATGATTTTCACTCATTAGGATTTTCTTCACTCACTTGCATTGCGCAAAGTCACAAAACCTTATTTCCTTTTTATTTTCAGTGTATGATGTCACCTCACAAAATATGCCCGATTCTCCCTTTATTTATTAAAAGTCTGTCATTTAAGCACTGTTTTCATTACTGGGGAGACAGGGGAGTATCAACACATGGCAATCCCAGCCTTGATGGCGATTACATTCTAGTCGGGGAAAAGAAATACTAAAGCAATAAGCAAGCAAACTGTATAGTAAGTAGGTTGCTCATAGGGTTATAGAGAAAATTAATGCCCAGGGGTGGGATGAGGAGAGCCAGGGTGGAAGGTGGCAATGGAAATAAGATGGTTCAGGCTGCCTTCACCTAGATGGGGCATTTGAGCAACAACCCAAAAGGAGCCAAACAAGGGCTGTCCAGGGGAGATTGCGTCACCTGAACACCTGGACCTGAGGTTTCTCTGCATAATTGGAAGATGCACAGAGGGGCAAAAGAGGGAGGATTTCTCACCCTTCTGATTTCACCAGTTCCTAGGCCCACAGCTCAAAAAATGGAATGAACAATTTTCCACTATATTAGGTTACTACTGCTTGTGTTTGAGAAAACAAGTCAAGATTTGCAAACCCACCCATGCATGTGGCTCGTTGTATTATAATCATGTGTGACTCAGTGTCCCTGCTCCACTCTGAGTATATCTGCCTGATCCAGCCTGGAATAGCCAGGGGTTTTCCACATCTGGCTCCTTCCAGACTTAACCTTACCAGTTCTGAGCTGCTGAGTCTTCTGTCTATCATGAATGAGGATCTCTTAAAGCCTCCTTCTGCCACACAACACAGGGGCAGGTACGTGGGTGAGCTTCCAGCTGCAGGCTCCCTAGTACTCCCACCAAGTCTGCAGGACTGGTCCCGAGGTCCTGGTCCCCATGCCAGTTTCCCACCAGCATCTGATCCCCTCAATAGGAAATGTCCCAAATTCTGCCTATGCCCAGGAAAGAATCAGGTTATACTTCCTCTGATTCAGACAAACCACCTAACACGGGGACGTGGCCAGGAGTCCCCTGTATGAAAGGCCCTGCCTTTTCTGCGCACTTCCAGGGAGTCCTCTGGGGCATCTTCAGCAGCACAGCTCACACTGGAGTCTTACACAGTCCCTTGTCCTTGGTATTTCTGACCTTAGACCAGAGGAGAGAGGGAACTTTTTGACCAAGTCTGTTCAGCTTCCTACCACTTAATACAATTCCTTGCCAAGAATTTCCAACATCCTGCTCTGCCAACAAATGACTTTTGTTTCTCTTATGTTATCCGATCAATAAACACATGGACTAAAGAAGCAGATGTAGACAAGAAGAGAGGAAGGCCTGCCTTGCAGATCCACGACCAAAGTGGATGCTGTCCACTTTAAGGTCCTGAGTTACACAGCAATAAGCAAGAGCCCAAAGTAGCATCCAATAGCAGTGAAACAGCAACCTCTGCAAGGCCACCTGCAAACACTTCACAGACATTGCCAATCCCACTTAACGCTTCCAATGACCAAGTGGGGTGGCCACCATTTCTGTTCCTATTTGCTCAGGAGAAAACTGATTTGCAGAGAGGTAAAGGTCTTCTAGAGGAAGAAAGAGGTTTTGGGCCAGGAATTCTGACCTCGGAGCCGAGGCTTTATCGACCACACTTTACTGCTCTTCATAGATGAGACCTTTTAACTCCCATTAGTCCATTCTTTGCCCATCCCCAGGGCTGTGCGCTAAGTGGGGCGCGGTTCTGTCCTCTGCAGGTGATAAACAAAATCTATGATTGTCTCCCAGTGAAAAAAGTGCTTCAATAAAGGTATATGTAGGGTAGAGTAAAAATAGAGGAGCGCAGCTTGGATGCTCCAGTGCGACGGCTCCCGGAAGGAAGATGTGGGGCAGCTGCTAATGGAGAGACAGGAGTTGGTCAGCTCCTGTCTCCGCGACGGGGCAGCATCACAGGCGCAGGTGTGGGGCAGGGAAGAGAAAGCCTGGCTGTCTGAGCAACTCCTGGCAGGGGTTCAGTGCATGCAGCATCAGGTGGGGGAACATGAGTGGGGCTGTGGGTGGAGGGTTGGACAGAGGCCAGAGGGGGCATGAATGTGCATGCATGAGTGCATGGTACACATATGTGGGTGTTTGCATACATGGGGGGCTATAGTCTGGGGGGAGGGGAATGGGGTTAGAGGCATGGTGAGGAGATTTGTTGGAATCAATCAGCACCACAACCTGGCCCAACCCCAGAGGAAGCTCTGGCATGAGACCCATTTGTTTTCTTTGACTTCACTAAAGCCAGCACGGTCCCCCAGGTGTCCCCTCACACACAAACCACCGCAGGGTCTTGCTAAGTTCAGATCCTGGTCCGCAGTCTGGGGAGGCCTGGGGCCCTGTGCTTCGACAATCTCCAAGAGAGGCTGCTGCAGGTGCCCAGACCACACCCCGGGACAGGACCCTGGCCTGGGGACCAGAAGATCCCGATCATGGACGTGAGATTTGGGAGAAATTCCTCTGACCCTCTACCCGACTGGTGGCCTGACTGCTGAAGTCTGTATCTCCACACTGCCTTCTTGTCTGTCTTTTAAGTGTCAATCAGGAAAGATAAAGTCATGGGGCTCTCCCAAGAAGATATTTAAATTTAAAAAATGAAAAACAAAACCCAGATAAAATGTTTGATCAGGCCACTGTGACAGCCACATAAGACATGCGGCGTGGCCCACATAGCAGGTGACCAAAAGTGACTTCGAGGCCACCAAAATGCAGTCCCAGCAGTGACCAAGGTGCCAGCCAGCACGGAAGCCGCTTTCTGATGGGGCCCCGCTGTGCCTTATCAGCCCTGCCACTAGGAGGCACTAGAGGGAGCGCAGAGGTTGGGGAACCTGCAAGTTTCACCAGGGCAGCAGTAGTGCCGCGAGGGCGCAGCCCAGTCAGTGAGCAGAACCAGCCACGGTGCCTTTCTCCCCCGCACACAACAGCTCAGTCACCCCGCTCCCTGGAGACCTGAGTGGTAGCCCCAGGGGCTTCCTCTCTAAGCATGCAGATGATAATAATCCAATCTCGTCCGTCCCCCACCCCCATCCCCGGGGTAGTGGCTGCTCCCTGCATTCACCAACTCGATGTACTTTTTTTTTTTTTTTTTTTTAAAGAGGCATGTATATTTATTTATTTATTTGTTTGTTTGTTTGTACATGCACTGGGTACAGTCAGAAGCGCGGGAGGGTGAGAGAATTCACCAGAGCCAGAGCAGGGAGCAGAGCAGGCAGAAGGACCGAAGTACACTGCTGAGGGGAGCAGCGGGCGGCAGGAGGGGTCTGCGCGCCATGCGGGACCCTCCTCTGGTGTCCGGGGAGCAGCCGGGGATCGAACCGGCGCCGCTGAGGCTGCGGGCAGCTTCGCAACCCAGCGCTCAACCGCTGCGCCACCAGGGAGGCCCTCGATGTACTTTTTAAAACCATTTTGCAAATGAGCAAAACCCTCCTGTCTTTCACTTCCTGACTTACTTCATTTTCTTAGCATC